AACGTCAGTGACTTTTAAAAGGAATTTTACCTAAATTGGTTTGTAATTCTGTTTATTCTGTTTTTGCAGACATCAGCAGTAATTTAGTTCATATGAATGTTCACAGAAAGTATATTTTGGCTTGAGGCCAGGACATGATTAACAGCTGAAATGAAATGAGATTCAGAAAGATATAGTTCATGAAGTTTAGGTAATCCAGTTGAAGATAAAGAATTAATGTTATGGTACTTGAGTGAGAAGTTTTCACTGCTCAGATATTGAATTTCAATAATGTAAAGACATTCAGAGACTCATGTTCGCTATTTGCTCACATACAGCTTCCAACCCAGTTTTATTTATTTATGTGGGTTTATACAAATGCTAATAAGATACCATCCATTTATGATAGATTTTGTAAGATCAAGAAATTTAAATAATTCAGATGAGCACTCTTACTTCTGGGTGATAATCCGTGTCTGATTTCTACATCTGTTGAATTTTCTCTCTCTCTGATATAGCTGTGGAGTATGTAGGTAGTATTCAGATATCAGTGGAGATGCATGCTAACTAAAGGAATGAAGCCACTAGGAAAACTCACAACTCATATATGCTAATAGTATGATGTTTGTCTCAGCATTATCATTAACGGTACATCTACACAAGATGCTATGGCTGGCTGAAGGAGCAAGGAGGTGTTCATGGGAAGCCCCATGTGGAGGGTTAGCCCAGCATGATGGCTCATGGACTGGGATCTGCACGCCATTAGCTGCGCAGGAAGCCACACATGGAGGCATGGAGACATGTACCATCAGGCCAAGCGGGCTCTGTGCCCCCATGTGTGGCTTCTTGCCGGAGTGCTGGAAGCCCCATGTGGAGGCACAGAGCCCACCCAGCATGATGGCTCACAGCTTCCAGCCCACACACCATTGGGTTGGGCCAGCCAGCTCTGTGCTTCCGTGTAGGGCTTCTAGTACCCCAGTGGGAAGCCGCACATGAAGGCACATAGGTATTTAGAATTTATTTTATTATAGTGATTGAGGCACTGGTAAGCTTCCAAATTGCTTTAAAACTATAAATATATCAATAAAATATTGTGTTCAACTGATACCTATATATATAGGGGCCTTTTATTTTAATCACAGATTTTGGGATTTTAATCACAGAATTTGTGATTTTTTTTTACCAGAGAATTTGCATTTCTTTTATCAGAGAACACCAGGATCTCTGCTTATCAAGTTGATACAGACAGATTATTTCAAGTCCCTGGAAGTCTGCCCATGTTGAGCTGCTGTGTCAAAAATGAGAGACTGAGTTTTGACTCTGGCAGGTCAGCTGGTCAACTGCACATGTATCCCTTATGTTATATTAGTATTCCATTTAACTTCTGATGGTTGTGCCTGGAGCTTTGTTTTAAAGGGTTGAAAGAGTCCACGTTCAAAGTGTTAAAAATATCATAATTATGAAGTATCATGGCAAGAGGGTAAGGTAAAGGTGAGATAATAAGCAGTAAGGCACTAGTTGAAAAAAGGTGAAAGCAATGAGGAAAATGCTATGGACTTGGTAAATAGAAAAGCACTAGCCGAAGGAGAGAAAGAGCTGCTAATGAAGAAATATTGCAGATGTGAAGGCTTCCTGTTTACTGAAAACATGGCAGCCATAACAGAATGAAGGAGATGTAATAAGGCACCAGGGGTTCTTTTCGTATGTATTTTAGGACTTCTGTTGAGAGAGGGGGAGCTTCTGGAAGAAACTTATGGTAAAAATGAGAAAGAGGCGCAAGTATTAAGAGAATTCTGTGACTGTAAGGGCACATCCACATGAGCAATTACGTGCACTTTGTGGCACCTCAAAGGCTTTTGAGGCACTGTAAAATGCACCTCACATATGTGATTTGGTTCTCTGCATTGCATATTTGCAGCCAGGAGCCATATTTAAGTACCAATATAAAAAAACAACAAGTGGACTGAAAAAAAGTGGCGTGGAGCATGTGGCAGCAGCATGTACCAACTGAAACCAGAGCCTAACTGACCAAAGCCACACTCTGGCTACCAACCATGGTCTGCATGTCTGGATTGCTGCCACTGCACCCCTGTGGAGTAGATTAATTAACTCCACAGTAAATGTAGCAAGTCTACATGTATTTAGACTTAGTCTACAGCCTTATTAGGCTGGTGTAAACTCTGCAGCAGCACACATGTAGATGATAACCTGGCTGGCTGGGGCACAAGAGTGCTTCAGTGTAGGGCTGCCTGCTGCCCCTAGGCCCAGAATGGAGCATCCACATGCCCCAGCCAGCCCCTCTTCAGCACGTTGAGCCGGGGGGAGCTGCCCAAGGCTGGCAGGCTAACTCCCGGTGTTTCAGCCCAGCTCAATGTGCTCAATGTGTATTTATTCTCCCTTTAACATGACTTGCTCAGACAGATAAAGCCATTTATTTCTATCTCCCATACTAACCATACATGACAAGCTGAAAGAAGCCTGATAGAAGGATTCTGGGTAGACCATTTGGGGCCCCATTTGGTGATGTTTGGCAGACATGTAAGGCTTGCAAAGAAACAGGAATCACTGTAAATGGGAAAGAAATGTGCAGCTCAGCTGTGGGAATTAAGTGAAAATCGAAATGTATGCAATGTAGTGGCTCACCATGACTTGAAAAAAGAGTTAGAGTTGAGGGGAACTGCAGTCAATGAGCACTACCATATATTTTATTTAGATGGGCTGCACTAACCTATCCTTGTGGTAGGTTGCCATCAGCATGGATAACAGGGAAAGATTTAAAAGCGAAATATGCAGACCTGATATGGAGATTGTGTGGAGGGTAAGAGATGTTCTATATAGGTAGGATATGGGAAGAAATGCCCACAGGAGAAGTGCAGGAGGGATGAATCAGTGGAACATGTATTTTGGGAATTCGACTTTGCATGGGAGGTTTGGAGGGAGGCACAGAGATTTTTACAAATTTTAGAAGTGAATGGTAAGATAAATTTTGGGAGTGTGATACATGGGTTGGTTAAGAAAGGATGGAAAGAAGGGAAGATATGGGCATTGGTGATCTGTGTTAATGCAGCACTCTGGAAAGTGAGGAACTTGCTGATCATGAAGGGAATAGATTTTACTACGAAGCAGGGTGTACAGCTAATCATGTTTGAGGTCAGATATTGCATGCAAAGGGATGATGATGAGGAATATGAGAGTAAGAGTGAGAAGAAGTGGAGGAAAGATAAATAGAAATACCTGTTCACCTTAGGAGTGTCTGAAATAGTGGGGTAAGAGAGAGGGTAGGGTAGGAGGGGGAATAGTGGTGGGGCAAAATAATGTTGTTATTGTAAACTATTAAGAGATGAGGAAGAGTTAATACATTATGAGGCTTGTTAGATGATGTAATGGTTTGATATTTGTAAATATGTATTAGAAATTTTGGATTATTTTAAATAAAATGTTGAGTTTAATAATTATAAAAAAGAGGTTCCCATCAATATATCAAATGTAGCATTTTTGGCACCAAGAGGAGGGTGTCAGGGCTGGCTCTGGCCTTCCCAGTGCCAACCTGATATTGTGGTATCTCCAGGTCTGGTGCCTGTTGCCTGTGGGGTGGGAAAAACACCCACCCATTTTTTTAAGGGCCACATGCACACAATAAAGGTTTCCATTGGCATTTCAGCCTTTTTGGCTAAGTTCAGATGTAGCGTTTTTATTCCCAAGGACAGGGTGTCAAGGCTGGCTGTGGTCCTCCCAATGCCAAGCTGGTATTGTAGTACCTCCAGGCCCAGTGCCAGTTCCCTGTGGATGGAACACACATCCATTTTTTAGGGGACCCACACCCACATTCCCATTGCCATGTTTTCTCAGTATGGGCCATGCATTTTATAGTCATGCTTAGTATTGGCTGCATTTAATCAACTTCATACTTGGCTTCCATTACTGAGCACATGCTGCTTTTGGCAACAGCTCAAAGATAGTGTATTTAGTGAGGTTTCCTTGTGTGTGAATGTAAGACAAGGGACTTTCCCCCCATACTGACTGGGGGAGATAATCTCATCTTGTATTTGACTAAATATGGTATATAGCTTGATTTTTCAGACGTTCAGAGAAGTCCTTAGGTCCTCCTGAAATCAGCAAGTATACTTGGGTGCTCAACGTCTTTGGAACTTGGGGTATTTGCTACTCTTTTGAAAAAGGTAGAATAGTGCCTACAATGAGTCACCTATGGCTTGGAAATGTTTGCCTTTTGTGGATCATCTATCAATGGAACCTGGCTTGGTTTCAATCATTTTTGATCCATAAATTTATGGGTCTTTGTGTAACAATAAGATCTTTGCAAAAGTGGTTCAGAATAAACAGTTCATCTAAAGGTTCTCTCCCTGTACTCATTATTAACTCTCTAAATGAAAATACTTGAATCTTCCTTAAAGTGTTGTTCTGACCCTAATTAAGTAAGGAGTGATCTGAAAACAACTTTTTATTCCAGAATTGTCAGCAGAAGAAACAAAATCCCATATTGAATCTGATTGAACCTTAAAGGAAATGAAGCATGAACTTTGTGGGTGTTTCCTATCTCTGTAATGAGAAGATCCAGATGTCTAAATGCAGACTTACTTGAGACTTTAGGAGTATTTAGAACTGGATCAGAGCTTTGAGGCTTAATCTATTTTTTGTAAAATGCCGATTTGCTCTTGATCGCTTTTTCTCTCCAATTAATTAGTGACAATTTCTCCCTTAGTTAATAAAATTATCCTCTGTTCATCAGTACATCATGCAGTGTATTATTCTGAATAGCCTATTTTTTTATATATTACTGTGTTGATTTGAATGATTCTAAAGACGTATGCAATATGCTATTATTGTTATAAAAGATGTTAATAAAATGTTAATAATAACATAGAAGTTATCCACTCATTCAATTCTGGAGTAAGCAACAATTCTGGCTTATAAAGAAGCAGTCAGTAGATCTTTTTTTATTTAACCTGTACTTTTAGCTATGTATAAAATTCAGTGGATAATGTGTTTTCCCTATTGTACAGCAGGAGAAACAGACAAAGGAAGTGTAAATGCTACTTTTCGTAATATCACTTCACCTTCACCCACGCACCTCTCACCCACCCACTCCAAATCATCCTCACCTGCAAGCATCATTGAAGGTAAAAGTGAAAACTGGGACACATCTTTCATTGTCACCTTATTGTTTTACCTTATTGTTTCAGCTGCACTAACATTCTGAAGTCAAAACTATCACAGTTGCTTATGAAAACAGGTTTGTTTCAGGGGGGAAAATATTTAGTTAAATTTGGAAAATATTTCTCATCATATACTTGGTATGTTTAGGTCCTGATAGTTACTTACATTAAAATGCCATTACAGGAATGGAGCATAATATATTAAGTCTTTAAGTAGAGGTAATGCAGACTCATTTTTAAGTCCAATGTGATTCTCTTTAAAGAATTATGGGCTGCATTCTTAAATTCTCTATCAGGCATCTACTATTAATAATATTTGTAGAATATTTCTTTTTGCATAAGTGCCTACATAGATATATACTTTAAACTAACCAAATAATAGTGTGTCATAGAGAGTAACAAAAATTATTAGAATCATTCTCAAGAAGCATGACTTATAAGGAAAGGCTGAAAGAGCTAGAGTTATTTAGGCAGGAGAGCTGCTGACAGATGTTTGCAAAAAAGCAAAAAATTCTGTACTGGAAGAAGCAGTACTTTAGTTTGACCTTGCTCTGCAGCATCTATATACAGGTCAGTCACATTTTATGCGGGGGTTAGGTGCTGAAGTCAGCACGTAAGGCGAAAATTGTGTAAGGTGAAAATCGGTGACTATACGCGGGGCAGAAGTTCACATGCAGCGCTGTGCTTAGAGCTGTGCGGCCGGCGGCAGCGGCGCAGCGCAGGGTGGTGGTGGGGGTGGCTGCGTGCCGCCCGGCCACCACCACGCTGCTGCTGAGCATGTCTCCATGGTGACAGCAGGAGGTTTTGGAGGCAGTGGCTGTCACTGACATAATGGGCCTCCAGGTAAGCGGCAGCGCTGCGTGCAAACTCAAGCCCCACCCCCCCCACCCTGCGTATAGTTGAATTTGCGCAAGTTAAATGCACGTATGATGTGACTGACCTGTAGATCGGGTTCTTCCATGGGACTTTTTGGCACTTTTATCTAAAGCTGATTCAATCAGCTATTAATTAAAAGAGCCAAAAAAGCCCTGCTAAAGCACCTGATCTGTACAGATGTTGGGTGAACTGGGTTGAAGTAAAGTGTGCCCCTTTTGGGCGTGTGCTGGGCTCAGTGTGGGGGTGCACCAAGTTTAAAGCAAAATGCCATTGCGGGGGGAGGTTACATCTGTAAGCTGCTGAGAAGAGAAAACTGAGTTGAAGGATTTGATAAATGTTTTCAAATACCTGAATGGTGATTACAAAGAGAAGCAAAGTGTTAGCTATAGTACAAATGCAGCAGAACCCCTATATCTAGTAGTCTGTAAGGACTGTATAGTACTATACTTTTGTCCAAAATGGAAAACCTTTATTTATTACTGGAAAATATGGCTTTAGGAATGTTAGGGCTATGCATCACATTTTACAACATGGTTGAATAATACAAATTTTAGTACTGCTAGATATAGGGGTTCTGCTACTTTCTTTGGACTATAGCTAAAAGTTTCTTTTGTTAATGACCACAACTGAGGGAGGTCTTCATAAAATAGATATCTTCAAAGGGGTCTTAAAGGTACAAGATATTGGTGTCTCCTACCTGTCAATAAACCATTTTTTATTCATGTATCAATTTGATTATATTGTCGTTAGCAATCTTTATCAATAGATTCTCAACTTGTGAAAATCAGCATAACCCATGTGCCAGTGAGGATACAGTGATTTTTACCATCTAATGATATATCTTGGATTGTGTACATTAAGTACACAAAATTGTGTACTTTGTGTACAAAATTGTGTACACAAAATTGTGATTGTGTACATTAAAAATTGAAATGTTACTAATACATTCAAGCTGTAATTGAAAAAAACAAAAAAGTATAGATATTAAGTTACATTACAAAGTGACAGGCTGTATAATAAGATGCAACAACTTTATTGAAGATTATTTTTTCACAGTCTCTTGCTAACCTCATTCCTGATATACATGCTTCTAGATCACATGTATAGCACATTTAAAGCACCTTGAGAATGATTGATAATTCAGATGACTCACATCCTTTTTGAATGGGTGGCATTAAAGGGCCTACAGCAGGTGTGCTCTTTGTATAGCACAAATTAGTTCACAGATTTCAGTAGGAATATTCAGGTGTTAGGTGTAAGTTATGCATGACTTGATTTACAAAGGGAAGAATAGGAGGAAGCCATGTGCCTATTTTTTATTTGATGTATATAGGTATTTCATGGATAAAGCACTTCTTTTATTTATATTGATTTAGATGTCTTAGATGCTTAATTCTTTAAAATTCCCAGGCAGTGACTGTTCTATGTTTGTACAGAGGCCAGCACAATATGGCAATGCCCTGCAGATGTGACTGTGATACAAATAGTTGAATACAGAAGGACCTGAAATATATAAGCTAGTCTAAACAGATAATATGTTAATAATTTCTTTTTTTTTTTATTAATTCCTGGTAGTGTTTTACATTTATTTTACCTTAAAATAGTTAGATATTTAACAATATTTATCAGAAAGCCTACAGAAAAAAAGGGGAAAAAAGGCATTTTTTCGACTCAGTTGTAAGCCTTCTGGATTGTTGGTTGTAGCCGTGTTGGTCTAAGGACATAGGCAGACAAGGTTCTTTGGGTAGATGTGATATCTTTTTTAGACTTACTAAATGATTGGAAAATTTTTCTTTGCAAAGTACCCAGGAGAGCACACAAAACACCACCAGACTCTCCCTATGCCTGAAGAAAGGTGTTTGTGCTTGAAAACTTTAAAAGAACAACTTTTTTCAACAATTTAGTTCATCTAATAAAAGATATCACATCTACTTCTAAGACTTCTGGAATTCTTCCACTCAATTTAGTAGATTGGGACCAATCAAAAACCATAATATATAACTTTACATAATATGTAAGTGTAATATAGGGTAGAAAGTAGACTACAATTCCCAACTACAAAAATGGAAGTGTAATGTAATCTTCTTTTAAAATTGTTTTTTTTAATGAATTTGTTCATTGCCATAGAGCTTGGCTGGCTACCATCTGAATTTGGGATGATATTTAAACAAAAACAAACCTAGATTTTGTTGTTCTTACTAAATTAATTTAAATACTTACTTCACTGGGACTACTCCTGTATTCATGTCCTGAGCAGGGGTAATTAAATATGGCCCTAGTTCAAAATCAAATTTTGAATAGGTCAAATTATAATTTGTCAAATCTAGTTTATAACTGCCTAACTTTAGTTCATAGGTTGAATGCCTAACAATATAAAAATATATCTAGATATCAGGGTAAGTCAAAAAACAATTAGTATAAGTCTGAGGAGGAAACACCAATTCTCCTCTCCCAACTAAGAACTGAAAGTATGGCATTAATGATGATGAATGGATTCCCAATTATTTTAAATTAGCATACTTGCTTTGACTTCAGTGGACATATGCTAATTTATGTCATCTGAAGATCTGACTTATTACATTATATTGTAACTTGTTAATGTTAAAAGGATATGCTTAGTTTTTATTGCCAAATTGAATCAAATATTAACTAATGCTTCTAAACAAATGAAAATATATAAAAATGATATTGCAAAGTGACAGGTAACAACCTCTTACCATTTACATCTCTGATCTATCAGTTTCCAGGTGTCAGATTTTAACTTTTGTAGAGCAGTGGCACACTTTTGAAACATGTTCAGAGCCTTTGATGACATGTAAACAGTGGGATGGGTATTAGATTATTTCTTAATGAACAACAGCCACTAAGGAGTTTACTGTGTGCATGGTTCTTGTACCTTGCAAGTGAACTCATTGTGTTTAATGGGACTACTCAAATGCTTAAAATTAAATGCATGCTTACATTTCCTATTGAATTAAGACGCAAATGCAAAAATTTGTTTGCTGAATCAGGATTGATTGAATTTTAATGTATGGACTCAAAAGTGCCTAATCTTCTTTTGACATTTACCCCTTATTTTATCTCTCTTAGGTCAAGCTGAAAAGTCTACTACATCTAGTAAGACAACTCTCTTTTTTTTTCATTACAGCACTACCTTACTTCTTAGTGAAATTAGCTTGTATTATATGGTTATTAATTACTAATAAGACAGTTAATTTAGTTTTATCTTCTGGAATGTTTAATATCTTTACATTTAGAACACTGAAAATGTGGAATGAAAATAACATAAATCAATTTATAAAGAAGGGACAGATGAATAAGTTTTCTTGTTTCTAAATGTGTAATAAGTATTTCACAGATACTGCACTATTCATTAGACAATAAGCTCTTCAGGTAAGGATTGTTTTTTTTATATGTTTGTACATCATATAAGACAACAAGGTCCTGGCCTCTAAGCAGAAATGTAATATATGTAATTAATACTAGAGCATGGTAGGTTCTGAAATGACATCTACTACTATACATCCAGCACATCAGAGCAGGCAAATGTATGTGTATGTGTGTGTGTATAAATGCCCTAACTTTTTGACAGCTGACTTAACTTTTTCAAGTTGACTTAATTGTCAGAGCATAAGCACATATATGGAGCACAGTTGACTTAAATGTGGTGCAAGATCATACAGCTCCAAGGTGTATCATCTTGAGTTGCATTATTTAAGTTGACTCTAAGTGCAAGGTGTCAAGGAGCTGTATGTGTGTATGCTTCAATGTGGCTTAACTTAAATCATCTTAGTTAAGGCAACTTAGTTAAGTCACTTTAAGTTGACTTAGTACTTGTGTACGCACCCAACTACTTCACAAAATAGATGGCACATTCTGCCTTATCCTGATACCACTGAAGCTAAATGGAAGTCTCACCTTTGACTTCAGCAAGAGAAGTCAGTTAATAAGAACAGAGCACTCAGAACTTTAGGTGCTGAGCTTGTAAAAGCTTTATACTTCCAATAACTTTGCTTACATTTTGTATTTTTCTGTTTTTGTCAGTTGTTTTGTATGCTACAAACTAAATACAATTGATTGCCCACCAAAATAAAGGAAGAGCTAATACTGTATAGCCATGCATCTTATAGGGTATGCCTGTACTTTATTCAGAGGTCTGACATCCCCAAGCTGCCTTTAAGCCATGTAGCTCAGGGAGTGATAGCAGTGTAGGTGCATTAACACAAGGCTGAACACAGAATAATTGCTTATTTACCCAGTGTCTGTGATTGGTTTTACACCTTGTGCTTTTCTTCATGCTCCCATGACTATACTGTTACTGATACCCAGGCTAGCTAGTTCAAGGTGAGCTCAAGTATGTTTATGACCTGAAGTAAGACCTCAATTCCCTTCCTTTTAGTACTTTTTTCCAAGTACAGCAACTTCATTTACGTGGCACTATCATTTTCTGCGTATAGTATGTTGGAAAACATTAACAAAAATAATTGTACTTCCTTGCTACAGGTATCACGTCAACACGCAGCTCATATACTACCACTCATGCAGACTCAAGCTCTTCATTTGGAACCAGCAATCAGACACTCAGCAGCTCTGCTGCCCTTACCGCACACACTTCTGCTACCACCATACATAAATCATCAGGTTTGCTGTATTCTTTTAGATGTCCCAGGTTGTCAGTAGTCCTGTCTTGATTTGTTCATGGGGAGGAGTTCTATATGGGTTGAGTGTGGAGTAATTCTTAAAACAGCTCTTCCTCAGCAAAGCATGACCGTGTTAATAAATTCACAATTAATGCCAAAAAAATGGGCTTCTGCATCTTATTTCCAGATTGTATCTTATGGCTTGATCTTGCATTCATTTTTCTCACAAGTCTCCTAGGCATTCAGCAACAATTTTGCAAGAGCAAGGATTGCAGAAGTGAGCCCATAAAAAACTGAATAGAATTAGTAGTTTCTAATTAAAATGTGGTATCTATAGTATTTTGAGATTATAGTTCTGATCATAGAAGCACTTGGAGGTGAGAAAAATGGTTCCTATGGAAATAAATTTGGCAGAGTTTGCAGATTTTTGGTACTATGATAAGAAATAAGAATAAGAATTATTATTTTTCCTAATTTGAGAGAAGGACAAATTATGAAGCCATTATGATGGCTGAATTCCAATTGATTTAGTTAGAATTTTTGTCTCACTAATGATGTCAGGATCTAATTTATTATGTGGACATCTGAGGTTATTTTAAATTATAGTTAATATTTTTGGTTTTCTAAATGAAAAGACTAATAAAACCTTATTTATGACTCTGTCCTTCATCTGTTGTGATAAGATATCAACAACAACAAAAAAAACCAACAGGAAAGATGCATTTTTAATATGAACACACAAACAAGTGGAGAGAATCTCTTAATAGTATTTTGTTCTGTTCATTTCCTTGCAGATTATTTTAATCCATCACCCTTGCATGCCTCCACGTTACCATCCATGACTCTTACTCCATCCAGCAATTCAACAAACATGTCTCAGTCTTCCGCAGACATCTCACATTCCATGGCTACAACTGCTTCCAGTCTCACAATAGGTGACAGACCTGCACACATGCATGTGAAATGTCAGAGCCTAAAGTGGCTTTATCTTTGAAAAATAATAAAAATATGTTTCATTACAGATTCAACTGAAGAAACTAAAGATTTTTTTTCCAGGCTGCTTACTATTGTCAATTTGATAGTTAATTTTTTTTTAAAAGTTCATATTTCCTTTATGAAAGTTATGAACAGAAAGTATTATTTGTTCTTTCATCATAAAAACATGATGAAACCTGTTTTTGTACTTCTTACTTCAGTAAATAATTATCTTCCAAGTAATTAGATTCTATTTATTTAGTAGATATCATGATTGATACACTCTCTATTTTATAACTCTGACTATATCCTAGCTAGATATTCCAATTTTGATGAAAGAGTAATATCACTCATATATCTTTAATATCATATCAATAAGAGAAATAATTTAGCTTGTGCATATGGAACTATAGGTTGTAAAACATATAATGTGAAGTTATAACTTATAATCAGTTATGCAAACAGATATAAAATACATGCTGGGCATGTCTACACATGAATTTATGCATGCCTAAACTTAATGCACCTTAGCCTAAGGCACATTAAAGTGATTTAGGTGTGTGGCTACACATGCTCAACTTAAGGCACCTGAATGCAGATCGCTGACTGAATGCATTGGCAGCCTTCCCTGGGCAGCACCCTGGACAGTCTGCAGGAGTCCATGGCAGCATATCTGAGCAGTGCAGCCCAGTGCTGGCCAAGGGGGTGAGAGCCGCCAGTTCCCCCAGATGTGATTGGCTCAGACCTGGACCCAGCCCTAGCTCCGGCCCTAACTCTCTCCCCATGTTCCTGCCTCCCTAGCATTGGATGACATCAAGCTGGAGCCAAGCCTGTGGGGTTCTGCACTGCTGCTGGATACCATCAAGAAGACACGGCGGGTGCTGTTCTGCAAGATGCAAACACTGGAGCTGGAGTGCCAGTTCCAGCAGCAGCAGTACCTGTCAGTGTGCTGACTGACATGGAACTAAGTTGGCAGAGGAGGCAGAAGGCATGAGGGCTCCTGTCAAAGCACAAAAGAAAGGCCTCCTGCAACTCCCTGGAGGGAGAAGAGGGCAGCGCGGCACAGACAGGGCTTTTGCTAGTGGCTCTCCCATGCCTTGGAGCAGATTTGCTGGCCAGGCAATGGAGCCCTGCAGGGGTGGGATGCCTTGCTTCCCTCTCAGGATTCAGGCACCCTTAGAAGCCTGTTCTGGGGTCACACCTGGGACAGCAGGCAGACTGGGACTGCATCTGCCCCCCAGCACCTGGCACAGCTTTCCCTGCTCCACCCACCTCCTCCCCAGGCAAGAGCCTGGCCTTCGTGCTGGACACTGCTCATCGGAGATGTGGCATGAGCTCCTGGGGCTTCTGCATGGCTCAACCCAGGCAAGCTGGCTGCAATGCAGGTGGAGGCTCAACCATGGATCAGGCAGGCCAGAAAGAGAGCCTAGCTTCTGCCCTCATTGCTCCTAGCCAGCCCAGGCTGAACCATGCAGAGCCCCATGGGCAGTGTCCAGCAGGGCGGCCATGCACTTCCCTGGGGAGAAGGTGGGTGGAGCAGGGAAAGCCATGCCAGGTGCTGAGACAGATGCAGTCCTGCCTGCTGTCCTGGGTGGAAGCCCCAGTGTGGGCTTCTAAGGGCACCTGAATCCCAGGCAGGCAGCGAGTCACCCCACCCCTGCAGGACTGCATTGTCTGGCCAGCAAACCCACCCCGAGGGAGAGGCAAGCAAAGGCCCTGCCCATGCTGTGTTGCCCCCTTCCCCACCAGGGAGTCACAGGGGGATCTTTCCCTTGTGCTTTGACAGGAGCCCTCACACCTGCCCGCTTTGCCAACTTAGTCCCAAGTCAGTTGGCACACCGACAGGTACTGCTGCTGCCAGAACCACCACTCTAGCTCCAGTGTGTGTGCCTTGTAGAACAGCATCCGCCGCACTTTCATCTTGGCGGCATCACAGGGACCCATGGGCTTGGCTTTCAGTCAACATAGGCTTGGGTTTGGGCTGCTCAGTCAACATAAACAGTATTAAGGCAGCTTAAGGCATCTATATGTGGGTTAAGGTGCCTGAACTAATTGAACCTAAATTTTACCCACTTTATGCACAATTAGCCTAAAATTGCCATTTTTAAGTTGCATTAAGGGCGCACATGTGTAGATCCGCACCCTTAATGCACCTTAAAAACTATCACGTGTGGATGTGCCCACCATGAGATGAACAGAAAAATGTGACTTATTCTAAACCAACTGTTTTAGCATAAAAAGGCTAATATTATTTAGAAACAAATATTTGGAGATCTCAGATAAATGTACTAACAGTTCCCCTTCCTGCAAATGATTAATATAAGCCCGTTTTCTCATGTTCTTTCTTCTTTTTACAGCACCCATTCTAACAAATGTTTCCAAAGTGGACTGTGGTAAGTTATATTTAAATGTACTCTTTTAAACCAGAAACAAACTCTCCTCATCTGATTACAATAATTGATATATAGATAGTAAATCAGCAGCTCAAATTAGCAGATATGCAAGCAGTTTATTTTGTTCTGTGAGCTTTGTTACTGTTTTGAAGGGATGTTTTGCAGTTCTACAAGCTTTTGCACAGTTTTGACCAGCTTTACATTCTGCTTAGACATCTTGCTTCTGTTTTTTGACGGGAGTAACACCACCAGTTGTAGAACCTAGAGTGTGTCGAGGGTCTCAAAGCATGTCACCTACACTGTAGTAACTGGTTCTGTGTATGCTCTTATGCAATGGTAGATGAAAGCTAAGCTTTTCCACAGAGGGGCAAGCTACCATGGATGAGCTTTCATTTGTTATGGACTATATATTTTCATTTTTCATACACTATGTATAAGGGTGTATACAAAGATAGTTATCACAAGAGTAGCTGATACACTGCAAATCCATGCTCGTGGTAATTTATTTATATTCACATGCCCTTAGATTCTTGCTCTAATTATCTTTTACATCCCAAAAGAAATAAAATTCTACAGATGATACAGAACAATTGATTAAAAACAAATAATGCCTTACTTTTGTGCTCATAGTGAGGGCATGCTGGGGTGGGGGTGAACTGGAGACCGAACAGCAACAAACAAGCAAAGTTCCAAATTTTTACACAAACAAGATTGTTGAGTCAAGGAACTATGTTGTAATACAATAATAGTTTCTAACTGATATTATCATAGAGTTCATTCTTCCCTGCATATATATGAACACATCTGCATAGTGTATTATGTATTGTATGCCATTCAGTTATCAAAAAATATCAATTGTTGTCTATTTTTATATTGTCATAAAATCTGTATATTGCACTCATATCGTGAATTGTTATTTTATGCAAGATGGAGCAATTTATAGCAAAATGCCATTTCAAACAAAAAAAAAGTTAAAAATTCAAGCTGTAAAATATTTTAGTTTCTAAAATGAAACATTTCCTTTAGCAAATAGGGAAATGAGAGTCCACTTACAAGATGCTTACAGTCTACACACAATAATTAGACTGATTTAATGCAATTGGTACTGTTTCATTGAGAGTAACATTTTCACATTCTGTTTTAAAAGAGAATGCTCCTGATCCTATGCATACAGTTACAGTATTATTTCCTATTTTCAGTTCACTTCTTAACTGGAAGTGGCACTTATTTCCATGGGTTATGCATTCATCAGAAGGATTCTGGGGTGTTCCTTCATGAATAAATCCTAGACCTTGCTCAACAATACATACCTCTACACTTGAAGTTTCCCATTCTCCTAATTTGTTTTGTCCAGAACACAACTGGTGGTCTTCAGGCATCATTAATACATTTACAATTATTCCCAAAGCTACAATAGGGTATACCTTACAACCTTCATCCCCTTTCACAGTTACCACATTGGCAGTAATGGTTTTAGTTCAGCGTTATACGTAAAATTATTTAAAGTCTACCAGGCTTACAGTTGTCTTTCCATTTCAGTGGCAGTATCCCATACTATTTTACATAATTCTTGGATAACACTGGCAATCACGGTTTGTAACCTGTATGCATGCTAGTGCTAGGGATGTATTTTCTTGCCCTTCCCCTAATGTTATCAGCAGATGTGGTGTCCTATGGAAAATTAAACAGTCCCTCTGTTACGTGCACCTCTAGCCATCACAACATTCCTAAGCCTTATAGCTATGAATTTAATGGGATGTATAATTCCTTTAGATTCCCACCCACAGTGGCTAATTTGTTTGCTAGAACTTCCTTATCTATGGTGTTTAAAACCTTGGTCCCCATTTCAGCATCTCCTAATATGGCTCTTAAATCTCTTTTTCTCTGGTTTGTGATTGTTTTCATAGGCACTGACTCCATGCATGCCCCAGGGCTCAAGCACTCATTGAAAAAAATTAGTAGGTTCTTAGTGCCCATCAGCCATGGCTGCAGGCTGCTTGCAGATATTTAAAAACAAACAAACCACAACACTTTACTCGAAGAAGCAGAATGTTATTTCAACCTGGCTCTGCAGCATATGTAAAGATAGGGAGCTTAAGCAGGGCTTTTTGGTGCTTTTAGCTAAATCAGCTATTAGATAAAAGTGCCAAAAAAGCCCCAGTAAAGCACCTGATCTTTACAGCTGCTGGTCCAAGGGCTGAAGTAGCACGTTGCCTCTTCTGGGCATGTGCGGGGCTCACTGTGGAAACATGCTGAGTTTAAATTAAAGCTCTGGGTTTTTTTACATCTGCAAACACCCACTTCTGAAAACCAAAGTTGGTGCCTGTTATTGTTTCCATGAATTTATCCATGTTTCCCATCCTTGTATATAAGGTTTTGCAAAGCGGGCACACCTTGGTTTAATACAGGCTACTGAAACATTCTGAAGAAATAAACAATTAGCCTTAAGTGGTGTACAGGGATAGCCAAAATTTTCTACATACAGTCCCTTCAAATTACATAGGGACTATTGTGTTCAATTGCTGGTGTCAAATCCCAGGGTTTTAAGTATTCTACCATTATCCATGGTGTGGATTGCATGTTTTACATGAGTATGGTGGGGTTAACACCACAAGATTGGTTTGTTAGTGTGTAATTAAGC